ATTGGCAAGCAACAACGAAAGTCAATACCAAGGAAAAGCTTGTGGAGGGCCTCAAAGCAACTTCAGCTAATCCATGTTGATATTTGTGGTCCCATCACACCATCCTCAAACAACAAGAGGTACATATTAAGCTTCATTGATGATTTTTCTCGTAAAACCTGGATCTAGTTTTTGCAAGAGAAATCATAAGCATTTACTATGTTCAAAAGATTCAAAGCTTGCGTTGAAAAGGAAGCTGGTGCATGCATCACTTGTCTAAGGATCGATCAAGGAGGTGAATTTACGTCAACAGAGTTTGAAGATTTTTGCAAGGATCAAGGAATCTCTAGACAATTAACAACTGCTTATACGCCTCAACAAAATGGAGTCACCAAACGGAGAAACAAAACACTTATGAATAGGGATGGCAAATATACCCATACCCGCAGGTAATACCTGAACCCTTCCCGACTTTGACGGGGAATACCCGGTTTGACCGGGTACGGGTACGAGTATGTACTTACTCGTCCCGTACCCGTACCTGTATCCGTCCCCGTTCTCATTTTTAATTTAATACTCACTTTCAATTTAATTATATTAAAAAAATTTAATATTTTTTTATGTGCGATTACTTATTATAATATGAGATAAAGAAATAACTTAATTATAATTATAATATAATATAAAAAATAATTTAAAAATATCATTTTTTTTACAAAAAATAAAAAATAAAAAAATTGACGGGTACGGGTACGGGTACGGGTATACCCGATACCTGACGGGGACAGGGATGAGGATGAAAATCTATACCCGACGGGTATGGGGACGGGGACGGGGATGGGTTGAACTCGCGGGGACGAGGACGAGTATCATGAAACCCGTACCAAACCCGCCCCGTTGCCATCCCTAGTTATGAATGCACTAAAAGCAACACTAAATGATAGACAAGTTCCCAAAGCTTTTTGGCCTGAAGCAGTTAGATGGTGTGTACACGTGCAAAATCGAAGCCCAACTTCAGCAATCGAACAAAAAACCCCAAAGGAAGCGTGGAGTGGAGACAAGCCAAAAGTGGATCATTTTCGGGTCTTTGGATGTATAGCTCATGCTCACATACCAGATCAAAAGAGAAGCAAGCTCGACGACAAAAGCAAACGACGTGTCTTCCTAGGAGTGAGTGATGAATCTAAAGCTTACAGATTATTTGATCCTATAAAAAAGAAAGTCATTGTGAGCCGAGATGTAATCTTTGAAGAAGACAAGAGTTGGGATTGGCAAGGAACTGAAGAAGGACGCAAAACTGATGCACTGGACTGGGAAGAACAAATAACTGAAACTGGAAGTGAAGACCAAGGATCTACACAACATGAAAAAGCAAACAACGATGGCGTCACTCTTGGTGCTTCCTCAAGTCGCCCAAGAGAGCTCAGACCAAATAGGATCAGACCGCTAGCAGATGACGATGAACACGACTGCCCAGTTGAAGGGAGGGCAATAAGGCATAGAAGAAAACCAACTTGGATGACAGATTATACACACTTCTCTATTGAAGAAGCAAGCCTAATGGCATTGATGATGGCTGAAAACGGGAGTGACCCTCACTCGTACGAGGAAGCATCCCAAAACATGAAATGGAGAGAAGCAATGAATATGGAGATCCAAGCAATTGAAAGAAACAAAACGTGGGAACTAACTGACGCTCTAAAAGGAGTCACACCTATTGGAGTTAAATGGGTGTTTAAAACCAAGCTCAATGAACGTGGGAATGTTGAGAAGCATAAGGCACGGTTGGTGGCAAAAAGGTATTCACAATAGTATGTCGTGGATTACACCGAAGTATTTGCCCCAGTAGCATGACTTGACACTGTGTGAGTACTGTTAGCTTTAGCAGCTCAACATAGATGGGAGGTGTTCCAACTTGACGTGAAGAGTGCCTTTCTTCATGGTGAGCTCAAGGAAGAAGTGTACGTACAACAGCCTGAAGGTTTTGTCAAAAAAGGCAAAGAAGATAAAGTCTACAGATTAAAAAAGGCATTATATGGCCTTAAACAAGCTCCTAGAGCTTGGTACAACAAAATTGAGACATACTTTGCCAAAGAGAATTTTGAAAAGTGTCCTAGTGAACACACTTTGTTTACCAAGAAAAATGAAGGCAACATTCTGATAGTTAGCCTTTATGTGGATGATCTGATTTTCATTGGAAATAATAAAAGGATGTGTGAACAATTTAAAGGTTCAATGATGCTAGAATTTGATATGTTTGACTTGGGAAGGATGAGACATTTCCTCGGAATATAAGTAATTCAAAGTGATGCTGGGATTTTCATTTGTCAGCGAAGATATGCTCAAGAAATACTGGCACGGTTCAACATGACAGATTGTAATCCAGGAAGGAATCCAAGTGTTCCAGGTGCCAACTGGGCAAAGGATGAGGATGGCTCTAGAGTTGACGCTATGAAATTCAGACAAGTAGTAGGTTGTCTCATGTATCTAACCGTAACTTGCCCTGACTTAATGTTTGGGGTCAGTCTGATCAGTAGGTTCATGGCCGATCCAAAAGAATCACACTGGGCAGCAACAAAAAGGCTTCTACGATATGTGAAAGGAACTACAGAGCACAAAATTTTCTACAAAATTGAAGGAAGAAGCACAAGCCTTATAGCTTATACTGACAACAACTATGCAGGAGACTTGGATGATCGTAGAATCACTTCTGGCTTAGTACTTGTGATGGGATCTGGAGTCGTGTCATGGGCCTCGAAGAAGCAACCCATTGTAAGTTCGTCTACCACTGAGGCAGGATACATTACTGCAGCGTCCTGTGCTTTTCAATGTATTTGGATTAGAGGAATTCTAGATCAACTTGGAGCTAAAGAGAAGGAAGCAATTGGCACAATGATATTATGTGACAATAATTCTACCATTCAATTGTCCAAGAATCCAGCTTTCATGGCAGAAGCAAACATATTGCAGTAAGATTTCATTTTCTTAGAGATTTGGTAAAAGACGAGGTTGTGAGACTAAGGTATTGCAGTTCTGAGAACCAAGTTGCGGATATAATGACAAAACCATTAAAGCTTGAGAGATTTGAAAAGCTTCGAAGCATGCTTGGAGTAATGAAAGTCATTGAAGTAAGCTAGATGCTGCAAATGTATCTAGCTTAAGGGAGGGAATGTCAGTTGAAATCATTAGTCAAAGTTTTGTTTAAGGCATTTTGAATAAAGTCCTAGTTTCTAGAACCAGTTTTCTTTATTTTCGGTTTGTTATCATGAAGCATTGATTGTTACCACGTGGGTTAGTACGTGTCATTTCCGTTTCATGTACGTGGGTCAGTACGTGTCATTTCTATTTCATTTCTGTTTCATGTAGGCTTATATAAGCCACTTTCATTCCATTGAATAAGATACAGATTTTCCTTCAATATTTCTTTACGTTACATTTCTGCGATTAACAATTTTAGCATGTAACACTTGGACATTAGCCTCATGTTGGTGACACATTATTTTCATTGCATCAAAATTTTGTTGTCACATGGTCTCGATCTTATCTATTAATATTTGCAATGTTACATTGTCTTCCATAGCAAGTCCTTCTTGCTCCACTACTCTCGTAAAACTTTTTAGTGTGGTTTTAGGTTGAAACCATAGGTGGTCGAAGGAAAATTTACTTCAACCCCATGGTTGACTCCAAAATGTTATTACCCAAATATATTCAAATTTGAGTATCATTCTTATAAAATCTTCTTCTTTGATTGTCTTCTGATATTGAATTAGACAACTCTCGATTTTGTTTGAAATGTGTGAGGATATCTACAAAAAGAACTCCAATGGTCATGTCATCTCTTAAATGTTACTAATGTTACAATTTTTTTTAAAATATCAACATGAAAATTCAATAAAAGAACTAAAACTGTAAATTTTATAAAATTGAGGGATTAAAATTGTGAAATTAATAATAGAAAAACAAAAATTACAAATTTAATATTATAGGAGGACAAAAAGTGTAACTTAACTTACGTTTTATTAAAAATTTTATTGTATTTCTTCACCATGAACTAATTATACCAGTAAAGGACCGAGACAAGTAATTGGGTCCTCATAAATAGCCCTAAAGAGGTCGATTAGAATGAAAAATGTGGAGACCAAGGGTGAGAGTATCCCGAACAATGAAGTCAAGGTGCTTACAATTATAACTTAAACTAAACTCCATAAGGTGTCTCGACGCTGTCGACAATCGAAGAAGCCAAACCCAATTCATATACGTAAGCAACACATCGACAATCTCAACTATTATCAAGAATATGTCCATCAAGACAAGAATACACCTCAGTGTCTCCAACTATTGATAAGGCTAAAGTAACCTAGATGCCTTGGAGATTCATACACAATTAAAGATATGCCTTGGTGTCTTCAATTGTAGAAACAACCGAAGTGTCCTAAACACCTTGGAAATTGTTACATCTTTAATTAAAGATGTAAAATAAGATTAAACACTATCCTATAATTAAGTGATCGTATACCTAATTGATAATAATTGATAATTAGGAAGCAAAGCCCACCAAACCTAGACTTATTATAGTCGTATAAATAGTTATACAAATTAAAATAAAATTATTATTAATTTATTACGCACTTAGATTTTTGTGTCCTTCTTAAATTAAGTGTTGAAATACTTTTTGTAAGTACTCCCATTATCATTACTTCCCGAGGACAAACAATTTGGAGTCAAATATAATTATAAGTACACCAATTATTCGATTATTTGTAATTATGTAATTCGTTACACTAACCATTCTTTTATGTTTATCCAAAATTATCGATAATGTTTATTATAATTTTTTTTAATAAAGATCTAGTTAAATTCTCGTTTAAATATAGAGTCCTAACCCGAAATATTTTGTTAACATGCTAATCATATTCAAAACATTAATTTTCTTTTATAAAAAAATCTATTGCTAAAGATTATCATGCATAATCGAACACATCATTTTCCACCATCTTATAACTTGTAGCTAAGCGAGTCACATACATTCCGTTATTATATTTCATCATAAGAGCAAGAGGAGGAATGAGTAAGCGCGGTACAAGAAAACGCATACTCGGAGTCGGTGCACCTCCCTTCACCACTGATCACTTCATCGCGCTTCTTTCTCTTGGCTCCATCCAGCTCTAGGGTTTCTTCAACTTCATGGCTTCCCCTTCTCATTTCGACGATGTAAGTGCCAACATCCCTCGCCATTTCTCTTCCCTCGCTCTCGCCATTCTATTTAACCTCACCTTCGCGCAGGAATTCGATTTCGGAGGCGGATTTAGCGGAAGGCATTCAGGTTTTGATTTTCTCACCGAACGCTCTTTCCGTTTTACGTCTCGTCTTGTTGAGTTTCCTTGTTTCATTGCCCCGAAATCTAGGTCATAAGAGGCCGTCTCCTGATTACGACGATGAAGATTACGATAACGATCCGTTTGCGCCGAAGAAGGTAACGGATTGCGTTAACCTGTTGTGCAGTGTTAGCGCTTAGGTGCGGGTTGTGGTGGAATGTGTTTTTGTTTTCCTTTATTTTTATTTTTCTTTGGCTAGATAATTAGATTGAGGAAAGTGAGATGGCTTGAAAGATGTTGATGATTTAGTTTTGACAATTTTTTTTACGAGATTGTTGGTTCAGTTTTACAAGTTTTACTCACTTCATCTTTTGGTGCGCATTGATGATATCCGTTTGATTGGGGATTTTTACTTGTTCGTGAATGTTGAGGGAGCAGTGGAAGTTGGCATGGGTGAAGGAGATTATTCTGATTATATAGCTTATTAATGATTAATGATTTGCTTTATATATGTATATAATATAATTATATAATAATATATAAAAAAAAGTTGAAGGATGATTTGTTATGCAGGCTAAATCAAAAGCCGAAGAAGCCTCTGGTGTAGCAACAGGAATGATCTTGTCACTTCGTGAGAGGTATTTTATTTCACAGTATAGATGGTGTGAGATATACTGTACTTTGCCAAAATTGCAGTAAATTATGTGGGCCTAAAATGTTTGTTATTTTGAACTCTGTATTTTGCAGTCTTCAGAGCTGCAAGGATACACTTGCTACATGCCAAGTATGTTTTTCTTTAAAGAATTCACATTCTTTGCTCCCTTCTTCTGTGAGCTGGTGTCTTTTTTTCATTTTTACAGTTTTTATGCACGAAAGAAGTTGGACTTTTGTTTTTGAGAGAAGCAAACTAAAGTTATACTGGATATGATTAAGACTTGGATTTGTGACTTGTGATTGATTCACAGTAAAAAGGCTTCAATCTTTTGTGTATAATGTTTGGATGGTAATAATTTGGAACTGAATGTGCTTGCACCATTCCCTTCAATCCTTCATTTCCATATCAGACTCTAGTTTGTGAGAGTTGAGGGTTGTTTTGCTGTTTGTACAAATTTTGACATATGATAGTTGTATTCTCATATCATAGACATAGGTTGAGCTTTCTTGCTTAGAATCATTGACCAGATCATTGCCATTTTCCAGAATGAACTTGAGGCTGCGAAATCTGAGATTCAGAGTTGGCATTCTACACTTAAAAATGAGCCTTCTGTACTTGCTGGGATCACTCCAGGTTTGTTTGTACTGTGTTTTACAAGTGAAATATACTTGTATTAATTGTTCATGTATTAAATCTTTTATTATTTCTGTGTTCCAAATGCATACCTGAACAATTATTTAATCTTCCTTCTGTCTAGAGCCCAAGATGTTGATTAATTATCTCAAGACCTTGAAATCCTCTGAAGAGTCTTTAAGAGATCAGGTTTAGAATCTAATTTCCCATTTTTTCCCTTCAAAATAATCCACCATCTGTTGATCTTTTATCATTGTCCTATTGGATACCAGCTTGAAAAGGCAAAGAAAAAGGAAGCTGCATTCATTGTAACATTTGCAAAACGAGAACAAGAGATAGCAGAGTTGAAGGTAATTATCTTAAAATTCGGTTCTTGTATGTTATTGCAATTGGCATGATTATGTACATGTGTGCATTTCTTTTTGGTATCAACCAAGACCACCTGAGTAAATTCCACCTATTTTCTTCAATAAAGTATATTATGAAGGGAGTAGGAAGAAATTAGATGTGTAGTTTTTCTTTTTCTCACCCTTTATCATCTATGTATAAATCTAATAATAAAGAACATATAATTGTCTGTAAGAGGTTTCACTGTATTCTGCTCGACATCTGCAATGCTCTTTAAATGAAGGTACTGTAAGTTTTGTAGTCTTGAATGTTATATTTCATTGTTTCTTATTGACCTAGTTGGGAGTTTGAAAACATTTGTAGTGGACAAATTGGACAATTCAGTAGAAATTTTACTCTCTTTTTTTTTTTTTCCCCAGTTTAATAATGCTTCATTGTCTGGATACGCTTGATAAATGGTCTGGATTCTGGAATGGTTACCTAATAATTTTCAACTTAGTGTCCATCCTATCAATATGTTGTTGGCTGCTCCAGCACTAAAGTTGGAAATACTTGCTATCCTATTGTTTTTGTTGTTGTTGGCTGCTGTTCCTTTGCTTTTTGTTCTTATTTGTTTTTCTTCATGTTTATGGTTGTCTGAAAACTTCGCCAGTCTGCTGTGCGGGATCTGAAAGTGCAACTCAAGCCACCATCAATGCAGGTAATTCTATAACATGAATGTTTAAATGGATCTATGGAATCAATTTGCTTGCGGATGATTCTTTTTTATGAATTTATCTTAGAACCCCATTGGTTTTCCAGCTTCTTTTGAGGCATTGTAGAAATTTCTCTATATTCCTTGCTTTTGGTTCTGCGTCATGTTGCATCTAGCTTGTAATATATATTATATTCATGTAACATTAGTACATGTATTTCAGTACTAAAGAGCATAGATAATGAACTACTGCATCATTTATTTGATTATTTGCAAATGGTTTATAAGCTAATTTGAGTTATTTAAAATTTCAGTTTATGAAAGAAAAAGGTTGTATTTGTTTCTCCCTTACCAACAATGATGACTTCACAATAAATTCACCTCCAGTTAGGCTAAATGTATTATTTTAGTGTCTTTTATAATATATAATAAATAGAAAATCAATTCAAAATGTCCATATGTATATCTAGTGGCAGATCTAGGACCCTAGATTAGTAGGGGAAAATTTAATAAAAAAATTGAAATTGATAATAATTATAATAATATGAAGATAAATGTATAAATATCAAAATAATATTTTTTAATATATAATCAAATAAATTTCATACCATACAATCGTAAACATTATAATTATCCTCATACAATACCTATCTTGTAATTTTTCCCATGTTGAGGGAGTGCATTTGCCCACCCTCAATTATATGTAGGTCTGCCACTTTGCTACATATTATGACCACTTAAGTTCCTCCTTACCTAAACTTCAGTTATTTTAGGGGTCCTAATAGTAGAGGATCATGACCAGGAGAGAGAAAGTGGACATGTTCCCACAATGTAACTAATATAATCAGAGTGGGATTCCAGTGTAAGGGGAGTATAAGGATTAGGAGAGTGGGTTACGGGAGACTAGGCTGGTTTTGGGCTGGAATATTGGAGAGACCAAGCAACCAGTCTTCCTTTCTTCTTGTTTTCCTTCTTCCTCTTTTTCAAGGTTTCAGAATTTGATATTATCTTGATACAGATCTGATATTTGCAATTATACAGAACATTTCCATTCAATTGTTTTTGCTATCTCTCTGGTACCTATCATTTACATTGTACCTCTTTTTTTTTTCCTTACATAAACTTTAGTTATTTTAGGGGGTCCTATCAGTTGAGAGGGTTCATTTGCCCATCTTCACTTATATGTAGGTCTGCCACTTTGCTATATGTTATAGCGACTTAAGTTCCTTCACTGGAAGAAATGAAAAACTACATATTTTTAAAATGCCTTCCAATTTTATATATAGATAACGAGCAGGTATGTATCCAGTGTGTATGTTGATATGATGCTTCAAACAATAAACCTATAGAAACATGATTTCTGCATTTTACATGTTTTCTGTGTCATACACTGCACACAGCAGAGAATGGCACATGTTGTGTGTGCTTACGGTGACAACAAACACCCACCTTACAACACAATGGGGGGGGGGGGTTCT